GGTCAGGTTCACATGTCCTAAAGCCCTTTAGTAAATAAAAACTGGGCCCACCATGTACTGCTGCTCCTTACACTAGGTGGACTGAACCAGGGGCAGACTGACCATTTGGAAACTCGGGCACTGCCCGAGGGCCCGGGGTCAGTAGGGGACCTCATGAGATGCCCCTGGTAGCTTTTTCATAGGCTTTTTTGAGTTTGGGCAAGGACACAGGGGCCCCATGATCCCCTATTGCCCGAGGGCCCCATGAGTTGTCAGTCCGCCCCTGGACTGAGCTGAACAATAAAATACATTGTAAATAAATAAATTATTGTGCTGCGCTCCCTAAAAGCAAAAACAGCATGTGCATATATATCAATTTTCAGAAACATGCAATAACCCTCTTAATTGTGTTCCACTAAAAATCCACCCATGCAGCAAAAACATCCCAATATAATACACAAAAAATCCTCATAAAAAATCACCCATGCAGCACAATAATTTATTTACTATTATATACACTATTATGTGAGTTGGGTGTGAAGTGTTTGCGAACCACATATTGTTTTTATTTTTGGTTTACTTTATGTTTTTATTCATTTTTTAAAAAATAGTATTTTGTTACACATTCTGAAGGTGAAAGTCGCTATATTGGCTCACAAGTTTTTTAAAAAATTTTTTTTTATAAAATACATTGGCTCTCTACACAGGACCAGATTTTACCAGCATGTATGAAAAATTGTTTTCAAAGACCCTCTTTTTTTTCATCAGACTGAGGGACCTTCTTAATGTTTTCCACAGGGGTCCAAGTCAAGTGAAATTTTCAGTATTTCTGGAAACCCCATTAAGACATCCAGAATAATGGTGACCCAGAATTAAAAGTTTAAGCTTCTAAATTTCAATTCATTATGAAAACATTGTGTCTGTAAATCAAAGTCCCTGGTGTAAAACAATGTCTTACCTATTGTGGAGACGACAGTCCCTACAAAGTACAGTGCTCCGGTAAAGTCCCACCTTGGTCGGAGGGCATCTGCCCTAATCCCTGCTGCCATGGCTGCTTCATAATCTCGCAGAAAAGACCTGAGCTCCAGGAGGCTGATATTGAAGGACTGGCTGAAGTTCTTTAATATCCTGTCCCATCGGTGGTGGGCCACCAGTTCTGAGGGCCTCTCTATGGTGGAGAAGATTGTGGCCCCGGCGATCAGGTAGAGCACAATGAAGATGGCCAGGAGAAGGAATCGCCCGTTGTCTTCGTTGAGTGGCAGTAAGCAGCAGCAGCTTTTAGTTCTCCTGCTAGACATCATCCAAATTTCAGCACCACCGGGCACCTGGACAGCAACCAGCACTTCATCGGATGGAGAGGCATTGGACCACAATCCATAAGTGATGCTCCAGAGAGGGAATCAATGATCAACTATTAAACAGCCTAGTAAAAACCTGAAGCTCAGTGCAATTTCTCATTGTAAGACTTTATTTGGAAAGTTTGCCCAGAATAGATTGGCATTCCTGGCAGTTGTGTCTAAATGACTATCGGTGATAATTCACAGCTTTTGTCCATTGAGTAAGCATGCATATTTAGCTCCTTTGACTTTGAATTGGATATACAATTGAATAAATATTGATAATCTCCTTTTGTGTTACAATAAATAATCCACCTTAGCAGTCATCCCCAGCCAGCTATCCATCCCATCCAGCTCCAATTAGAAAGGAAATTTGTAGAGGTGGCAAAAAGCATCCATTGCCTTTATGTTGGACCAATGACCTTTGCAGATCCTCAAGGCTTGTCTGGTCCCATCAGACGCTCCAGCAACAAAGAATAGGGCTCCTTGTAAACTTTTGTCTTGTGTCATCACCAAAAAAAAAGAAAAAAAAAGTCAAAAACTTTCACATTTATCAAATAAAGCCACAGTCATCCCTTATGGTGCTCACGACAAGCAGATTAAAAAAAAAACACAGTTACAGCATTTTCAGCAAATAAAAAAAAAAAACCCAACACAGTGGGATAGGAAAGCATCACCAAGATCTCCAAGCTTCAGAATGAAATATAAAAGGGATCAGATGGGATGTTTTACCTTGCAGCTAATGTGAACTGTGTGAGCATATCCCTTACTGCAGGCAAACACAAATATTCTGTGTTGGAGGTGAGCTCCCCAGCAAGGCGTTTTCCTTTGGAATACTTGTGTCTTCATGGAGGCAGAAGCTTGCTCTCTTCCCTGTGTTGCATAATCAGCTTGGTGTGGTTCCCCGTGCAGCCGGCTGCCTTCAGCACCTTGGAGAGCGCTGCGCTTGTTCTAGTTAGGTCAGCAGTCAGCAGAGCCTATGAAGAGGACGGGGGTGCTGCAGGCGCTGGATCTCCAAGAGCAGCAGCAGCAGCAGCTCTCTTCTACACACAACGTGCTCCCTCCAATTCAAGGGCTGCTCCTTTTCTTTCCTCAGCCCCATTGTCATAAACGATGCTGATCAGTGACTAGGAGCAGTTGCTTCTACTGGAAGATGGATAGTTTTTTTTTTTTTTTTTAAATCTATAAATTGACTGAACACAACCAATGATCCTTCAGTGTGGAAAGCTTGGCATACTGCAGGACTCATACAGCCTAACACAGCCAGAACTGCGGATTTAATGACTGAAAGCCTATATTGTCAGCTCCACATTTAATCATGTACAGTCCTAGACAGTGCTTCCTGCAAGGCTTTATGAGCCTATTAGAAGGAGGCTGCAGGGATCTTTATTATATAGGTAATATTTTTTTTTTCTAGTATGAGGGGACAGACAACTGTAAAAGATCCGTATATAAGCAACCATAGATAATAAAAGCAGAATTAGAGAGGGACAGGGAGCTGGCAGACATCACCAGAAAGGCTCCCACTTTTCATCCATTACACATCTGCATCAGAGGTTGGTCATCAGCTCTGAGGAAAGGGATTCGTCCCCGAAACGCGTCAGCCATTTGACCGCACTGACAGTGAGAACACCTTGCCTGCCGTTGTGGCCATTGTCATTTTTCTATGCTTTTTAGATACATGCTTCGTCTGTATGTTTTTATTATTTTTTACTCTTTACAATAAACCTTGGATAATGCACTAGGTGTGTGCGCCACCTGTTTTCTCTTTATACAGGGAGCTGGATAGGTTACAGTGGTTGTAGTATAGAGTCATTGTACAGAGCATGCTGATGGCTGTGTACATTGCAGGGTTTATAAAGTCTCTACATGGGGGATGCAATAGCAGTGGCTTTATTACATAGCTCCAGTTAAATCTTGCTGGTGGAATAAGGCTCCATTCACACCAGTGTTTTTTTTATTTATTTATTTCAGGTATTTATATAGCACCGTCAATTTACGCAGCACTTTACATATATATTGTACATTCACATCAGTCCCTAACCCTCAAGGGGTGTACAATCTAAGGTCCCTAACTCACATTCATACATACACATACTAGGGACAATTTAGACAGGAGCCAATTAACTTACCAGCATTTTGGAGTGTGGGAGGAAACCCACACAGGCACAGGGGAACATGCAAACTCCAGGCAGGTGGTGCCATGGTTGGGATTTGAATCAACGACCCTAGTACTGCAAGACAGAAGTGCTAACCATTCAGCCACTGTGCTGCCCATTCTTAGAAGTTCTTAGAAGCTGTTATCTGGGCAGCACAGTGGCTAAATGGTTAGCATTTTCTGCCTGGGTCGTTGGTTTCAAATCCCAACCATGGCATCACCTGCCTGGAGTTTGCATGTTCTCCCTGTGCCTGCATGCGTTTGCTCCGGGTACTCCGGTTTCCTCTCACCCTCCAAAGACATAATGGTAGGTGAATTGGCTCCTGTCTAAATTGTCCCTAGTATGTGTATGTATGAATGTGAGTTAGGGACCTTAGATTGTGCACCCCTTGAGGGTTAGGGACTGATGTGAATGTACAATATCTGTAAAGTGCTGCGTAAATTGACAGCGCTATATAAGTACCTGAAATAAATAATAAATAAATTATCAGCAATATTTTCACTGTTCCTAGAAGCTAAGTGTTATCCATTGGGGTTTATTTACTAGAGGTGGAGAGTGCAAAATAAGGTGCATTTCTGCATAGAAACCAATCAGCTTCCAGGCTTTATTGACAAAGCTTGAAATGTTACTAAACCCACAACAGTACAATCAGTCTGTATATGCAGTAAAGCATGCTTGTTATACTCACTGTGGAACCTAAGGGGTTAATCGTCTGCATTGTGTAAAAGGCTGTTTGATCCTGTCTTCTCTGCTCCTCCTCTTGTTCAAATGTCCACCTTATATCTCCTGATAAGACAGACTGAACCGTAACCATTCTGCACATGTTCAGTTTGGTGTGTATTGCTAGAGAGGTTGTTTTTTTCTTGGGAGAGTGGATGTGATCAGCACAGGGCCAGTAAGCACTGTTCAGACAGAGGTCATGGGTCCTGAATCTTCCTAGAGCAGAAAGAAAACTCCTCCTACAAGCTTTAACCAGTGCTCTGCTGGACACTGATAGAAGCTACTAGACTGCTCTAACTGCTGATGAGAAAAGGTATTTAGCAGTTTATATTTACTAAAATAATTGCATTTCCATGTTGTGTGTACTGTGGGAGATCAGATATAGTGAATGCAGGGTCCTGGGAGACCAGATATAGTGAATACAGGGTCCAGGGAGACCAGATATAGTGAATGCAGGGTCCGGGGAGACCAGATATAGTGAATGCAGGGTCGGGGAGACCAGATATAGTGAGTGCAGGGTCCGGGGAGACCAGATATAGTGAATGCAGGGTCTGGGGAGACCAGATATAGTGAATGCGGGGTCCGGGGAGACCAGATATAGTGAATGCGGGGTCCGGGGGAGACCGGATATAGTGAATGCAGGGTCCGGGGAGACCAGATATAGTGAATGCGGGGTCCGGAGAGACCAGATATAGTGAATGCAGGGTCCGGGGAGACCGGATATAGCGAATGCAGGGTCCTGGGAGACCAGATATAGTGAATGCAGGGTCCGGGGAGACCAGATATAGCGAATGCAGGGTCCGGGGAGACCGGATATAGTGAATGCAGGGTCCGGGGAGACCGGATATAGTGAATGCAGGGTCCGGGGAGACCGGATATAGTGACTGCAGGGTCCGGGGAGACCGGATATAGTGACTGCAGGGTCCGGGGAGACCGGATATAGTGAATGCAGGGTCCGGGGAGACCGGATATAGTGAATGCAGGGTCCGGGGAGACCGGATATAGTGAATGCAGAGTCCGGGAGACCAGATATAGTGAATGCAGGGTCCTGGGAGACCAGATATAGTGAATGCAGGGTGTTGGGAGACCAGATATAGTGAATGCAGGGTCCGAGGAGAGCAGATATAGTGAATGCAGGGTCCGGGAGACCAGATATAGTGAATGCAGGGTCCTGGGTTTAGTAACACTTTAAATGAACAAACTGAGGTTAGAAGCTGATTGGCTACCATGCACAGGTCTTCAGATTCTGAGTGAACCAGTTTTCCTAAATCTACCCCTATGTGTCCATGCACACTATTCTAGGCTAGCAGCATTTTTCAAGCTTCAGCATTAAGGCTTTGTTCACACTGGATGCAATATAAAATAGTGCGTTTTGTTTGCGATTTCACCGCATTTTCTGAAGATTTCCCAATGATTTCTTGCGTTTCTATTGCGTTTAGCTGTGTGATTCCTATTTTAGTCTATATGTGAAATTGCAACAAACTGCAGAAAAATTAATACAAGAGCTGCTTTTGAAATCGTGCTGCAGCAAATCGCGTATGTTAAGACACTCACATTCACATTCATTAGATCTGATTTCAGGTACGATTTCAATTCCCAAATCACACCTGAAATCGCGGCAGTGTGAACCAGGGCTAAGGCTTGGTTCACACTGGATGCGATTTAAAATTGCGCGTTTTGATTGTGATTTCACTGCATTTTCTGAAGATTTGTTTTCAACTTGTGAAGATTTCCCACCAATTTCTTGCGTTTTCCATTGCGTTTTGCAATGCGATTTGTATTGTAGTCTATGTATGTGAAATCGCAACAAACTGCAGAAAAAGTAATACAAGAACTACTTTTGAAATCGCACCGCAGCAAATCGCGTATGTTAAGACAATCACATTCACATTCATTAGATCCGATGTCAGGTACGATTTCAATTCCCAAATCGCGCCTGAAATCGCGGCAGTGTGAACCAGGGCTTAGGAGCAGAAAAAAACATTGTTGTAGAGTTTTTGGGAGCGTTTTTTCCAGCAGAAAAAAAGCGCTAACTGCTCCTACATGCAACGCAAAGCTACTACAACTTCTAACAGCTCCCAATAGTTTTTTTTAAAAGCTCTAATAAAATGCTAAAGCTCCTAAACGCTACTAAAACACTATTAAATAAAATGTTATTACCAACGTTTTTTATCTAGTATTTTATCCATTGTTTTTTGAGGTTAAAAAAATAATATGCATGGAGCCTAAAAGAACTACAATGAAAATAAACCTGTGTTCAGAGGCTGCTACTGTTGACTTCCTTCTGAGATGCTAATTGCCTCACAGTCACCTTAATCCTCTGATGCAATATTGCCTGGCTCATTGACCTGATCCTTCTAGATCACTCCCTCTCTCAGTTCTCAGGTCACTTTTTCTTTCCAAAAAGAGAAAACTGCAAAGCAGTCTTTACAGCCAGGCATTTAGCTTTTTATAAAAAAAAAAAGAAGACGGCAAGGCAACCTCTACATCCAGGCAGTTAGCTCTTTAAAAAGAGAAGGCAGAAATACAACCTTTACAGCCAGGCAGTTAGCTTTTTCAAAAGGAGAACACAGCAAGGTATCCTCTACATCCAGGCAGCTAGCTCTTTAAAAAGAGAAAACAGCAAGGCGACCTTTACAACCAGACGGTTAGCTTTTTCAAAAGGAGACAGCAAGGCAACCTTTACAGCATATTTCTCTCCATATTCCTTCACCCTAGGTTCACATCTGTGCGGGTGGTGCCGTTGCAGATCCGCACGAAAATCCATGCAGCTGCACCACCCGCACAGAGAATTGCGGACATGCGGGCGGGTGATATTAGTTCCTATGGCACGCCACCCGCACTGGAAAACGCAATTGTACTGGGAACCGAGGTTCCCTTGCGGTCTGCGTTTTCCAAAGAAGTGCAGGGACTTCTTCCCTGCGTGTCATGGGGTACGGGAGTCCATTCAAATGAATGGGCTCTTGTGCTCGTGCAAAACGCAACCCACACGGCCGCATAGATGTGAAGCGGGGGTTAATTTAAAGCTGAAGTTTAGTTCAACTTTTTTTTTCTATGCAGCACCATGACTAATCTGTAATGAAATGTGTCTCGTGGCCATCTGGCTGTGGCATAGTGTGGAAATCTTTGTCCTCCTCCATTCATAGAGCTCATGCTATTGTGTGAATAGAGAAAGAGCAGATGAATGACAGGATCTGCCTCCTCCAATCACAGAACACCTTACATTCTGGGAAAGAATAGTACAAGTACTATTAAAGTGTTACTAAACCATAACAGTAATTCAGTCTGTATATGCAGTAAAGCATGCTTGTTATACTCACTGTGGAACCTAAGGGGTTAATCTGCATTGTGTAAAAAGGATGTTTGATCCTGGCTTCTCTGATCCTCCCCTTCTTTTAACATCCCCAACCCATCTGCTGATAGAACAGAGCCTTGTAGAGCAAGCTGCACATGCTCAGCTTGGTATGTCTTGCTAGAGAGGTTTTTTTTCATGGGAGAGTGCATGTGATCAGCACAGGGCCAATCAGCACTGTTGAAACAGGGGGTCAGGGATTATGCAGCCTCAAAAGACAATCAGAGGAGAATGAAAACTCCTCCTACAAGCTTTACCAGTGCTCTGCTGGACACTGATAGACGTCACAAGACTGCTATATGCTGCTGATGAGAAAATGTATTTCCATGTTGTGTGTACTGTGGGAGACCAGATATAGTGAATGCAGGGTCCTGGGAGTGCAGATATAGTGAATGCAGGGTCCAGGGAGACCAGATATAGTGAATGCAGGGTCCTGGGAGACCAGATATAGTGAATGCAGGGTCCGGGGAGACCAGATTTAGTGAATGCAGGGTCCGGGGAGACCAGATATAGTGAATGCAGGGTCTGGGGAGAGCGGATATAGTGAATGCAGGGTCCTAGGAGACCAGATATAGTGAATGCAGGGTCGGGGGAGACCAGATATAGTGAATGCAGGGTCCGGGGAGAGCAGATATAGTGAATGCAGGGTCCTGGGAGAGCAGATATAGTGAATGCAGGGTCCTGGGAGAGCAGATATAGTGAATGCAGAGTCCGGGGAGAGCAGATATAGTGAATGCAGGGTCTGGGGAGACCAGATATAGTGAATGCAGTCCTGGGAGACCAGAGTGAATGCTGGGAGACCAGATATAGTGAATGCAGGGTCCAGGGGAGAGCAGATATAGTGAATGCAGGGTCCGGGGAGACCAGATATAGTGAATGCAGGGTCCAGGGGGAGACCAGATATAGTAAATGCAGGGTCCAGAGAGAGCAAATATAGTGAATGCAGGGTCCGGGGAGACCAGATATAGTGAATGCAGGGTCCTGGGTTTAGCAACACTTTAATGGAGGAGTCAGGCAGAAGAGGAGAAGTTGGCTCAACTGTTGCCCCTTTAACACAATCCAAGTGGGTTTGTCTGTCCGTTTTTAAGCTGGACCCGATCGGACCCTTCGTACACCTCTATGAAGCAGCAGATGTAAAGGAACTTATGTCCATTTACACCCACCTACCTCCAATCCAACCTGCTAAAAACAAATGGATGGGGATCCAATCCCCTCCATCTGGACAGCTTGGATCGGAGGGCAGTCAGGTATAAAGGGACATGTCAGTCTGTGTAAATCCGATTGCCCATGTAGCAGAGCGGGTTGTGTCTGTGTCTGCTCTGCATAAGCGGAGTGGACATGGTCCTGTCATCTGTCCACTTCGCTCTGCTCTGATCAGACGACAGATCCCCCACTGAGCAAACAAATTCCACCTCCTGTAAAAGGGGTCTTCTTCTTTCACACTCGCAGTGGCTGATGTTATCCCCAGCAGTGCCAGAAATCAGAGAGGACCAGTGGCAGGGATGCAAAGATTTCTATATTATGTAGCAGCCAGTCAGATATGGAATACACTTCATTAGGGGTAAGTTGTGTCCCTAGAGCTGCATTGTAAAATAATAAATTTAACTAAACTTCAGCTTTAAGTGAACTCTCCATATAACTGTAAAATCACCTGGATTGAAGCTAAATTGGGTTACTTTCTCTTTATAAAAAAAAAGAATTACTGATAGAAAATGTGGTATGTCAGCACTCAGCACCTTCTGAAAATGCTAGCTGTCTGTCTCCGGTTTGATTAGTTTTTGAGTCACTCCTGATCTTCATAGTGCGTCATGACTTTTCCATCTTGACACACCACCGCTGTGCAGGTGTACTGATCTCATTTCTTGAGGCTTACAAATGTCAGGACAGTACAGATATCCCCCAAATGATTCTAGAAACTATGGTATATATATTTGAAAATCGATCAATCCTGATGTACTGATGGTCTACCTGATTTCTTGAGGCCCTAAAATGTCAGGACAGTACAAATATCCCCCCAAATGACTCCTTTTAGGAAAGTAGACAGTCCAAGGCATTTAGTAAGAGGCATGGCGAGTTTTTTGAAGTTGTAATTTTTGTCACAATTTTTTAGTAAATGAAGAAAAAAAAATCACTTTTTTTTAAAATACTGTCACTAGCACAGTACAGCAGGGGCAGACTGACAACTCATGGGGCCCCGGGGCAATAGGGGATCATGGGGCCCCTGCGTCCTTGCCAAAACTCAAAAAAACCTATGAAAAAGGTACCAGGGGCATCTCATGGTGCCCCCTACTGACCCCGGGCCCTCGGGCAGTGCCCGAGTTTCCAGATGGTCGGTCCGGCCCTGCAGTACAGTGGCATCATATAATTGGTGTGGCGGTGACCAGGGAAACTGGTGACAGTATGTAAAAAAAAAAAGAGTAATATTTGTTTTTTATTTACATTTTTTCTTTTTTTCACAATTTTTTAAACACACTGTGACCAGAGCATAGTAACATTGCATTACTCTGGGGAAGTGATCAGGATTTTTTTTTACACAATATGATTGCTTATAGCAGTGAATTTCACTGCTATAAGCAAGCATTTTACTGAATGAAATCAATTCATTTAGTGCTTTTTGTTGTGATTAGCTGTGATTGGCCACAGCTAATCACATGGTACAGATGGGCTGTGATTGGCCCTGTCTGTATCATGTGATCACTGTCAGCAATCACAGCTAGCAACACAATTGTACACAATTAATGGCATGAATCAGAGCTATTCATTGTTTACAATTGTCATGTGATCTACTGTGATTGGTTACAGCAATCACATGGTAATGGCATTGGGCCAGTACACTAATCAGTTATTGGCTGTGTCTGGTGTCCGGTGGACACAGCTGGTGGCAGATCGCACCCCAAAGCATGGCTGTATGGCCACGTGCAAGGCTCGTTCTGAGAGGATGTCATATGATGCCCACCCACAACAATGAAAGTCCTGCCCGGCCGGCAATTTGCTATAGGCTGGTGGGAAGTGGTTAATTGTCTTTTGGGTTTTTATTTACTTTTTTTTGGTGAATGAGTAGAGGTACTATGTACCCCATGTACATTCACATGTGGGGCAAGGATCCGAAGGCCCCCTTGTTAAAGTGGCCTTCCAGTTTCCAATAAGTCACCCCACTGCACCCCCCACAACCACTGAGCAAGGGTTGTGTGGAATAGGCCCTTGTCCTTATCAACATGGGGATAAGGTGTTTTGGGGGGAGCCCCCTCCTCCAAAGAACCCCCCCATGTTAAGGACATGTGGCCTGGTATTGTTCAGGAGGGGGGGCGCTCTTTTGTTCCCCCCCTTTCCTGGCCTGCCTAGCTGCAAACTGGGATAAGGGCCTGGCATGGATTTGGAGGGGGGGGGCACACTGTTTATTCATTTTTTTTAATTTAATGCTGCACTTCTTTTGTTTACATCCTGCAGTCAGCAGGGAATCCCATTGACAGCAGATGAGTCTTGGTTGTTAAGGACGCAACGGCTGCCCGCTCCTTAACAACCAGCTATTCACAAAGAAAATATCAAATCCTTACGAAAACGTCAAATCCTGGACTAACAAATAAACAATATGAAGTTTGAAGAAACAAAATGAACCCCGAAAACAAACTGGACCGACAGAATGAATACAAATAAGCAAAAGTATCAACAAACAAATGCATCCCAAACAAAACACAATTTTCAGGAGTGCACATGTCTACAATTGACTTCAGCGCAATCAGCCTGTTTTTTTTTTTTTTATCCCCTTTGATCACTGCCAGCAGCTATAGCCGCTAGCAGTGATCATTGGGAAGGCTCCCCACCGGCCCCACCAAAATTGTATGATATATGGCCTGCTTTCCATACTTCTGTAGCTACATGTCACGATTATATAATGAATGTAACACTGGACCAAATAGCAGCTTTGGGAACATGTGCCGACATCTCAGGCTTACATGAGCCTGTTTTTGTTAACTGAATGCATGGCAAATGCTGGCAGTTACCTGACAGTAAAAACAAGCTTTTTTCTTTTTCCTCCCTCTCTTCTTTCCGCTTTGACTAGACATGCAAAGTCAATTGTTACAAAGAAAGACATTCACAGTTTCTTGTTTCCTTATCAACAAAGTGTGAAATGTATCCTCATGCTGTTCTGTTAGCGGCCATTGACATTGTATCATTTTCATGCTGCTTTACTTCCATTCAATGAAGTGCAGAACGCTGCCTTGTATGAATGGTCATACTGCATTAAAGGTCTGAATGGATCTACGGCGGATGGGATTTCAATACCATTCACTAGAAATGTTTCAAAATGACCTTCGCTCTATACATGGATTTTTAGTTATGTGAACCACGTGATACATTGTTTCTGCACGTGGAAGACATAGATAAAGACTGTATTGCTTAACATCTGTAGGCAAGCTGCTTTGTATTGCTCTGCTGTGCGGAGCAATACAAAGCAGCCTGTTCGTGCCGACAGGGGAGAGATATGTATTGTTTACATATAGACCTCTCCCCTGTCAGCTTCACCGATGATCACTGAGTCCCGGCTGGGACCTGGTGATTGACATGCCAAGGAGCCAATAGTGGCGCGGGTAGGGGGCGGAACAGGGGCGGACTGACAACTCATCGGGCCCCCAGGCAATTAGGGATCATGGGGCCCCTGTGTCCTTGCCCAAACTCAAAAAAGCCTATGAAAAAGGTACCAAGGGCATCTCATGGGGCCCTACTGACCCCAGGCCCTCGGGCAGTGCCCGAGTTTCCAAATGGTCAGTCTGCCCCTGGGGCGGAATATATACGTGATATATATGTGATTTTGTGCATCCCTGCCGGCCTGTAGCAGTACTTCTGCTATAGAGCGGTCGGGAAGCAGTTAAAGCCATGAACAAACATTGATGGTATTGCAGCGTTCCACTCCTTAGATGCAGTGACTGCGTTAGTTTTCTTTTTTTTCATCTTTACTTTAACTAGTAATCCTGCCATGAATACACTTCCTGTATTAGGGTGACAACTCTACTGAGCAGCATTGTCATGCTAGAATAGGGTGTGCATTAGGACTACGTAATTTGCCTGTTTTCAGAGAGCACAGGGAGCTCACAAGATTTCTGGCTGGATGAACAGCTTTTTTTTGCAGATATAATAAAATACTTACAATGGCATATATACCATACCAAAAGGGGGAAAATAAGAGAAATTTACTGTTAACCTTTTGAGGACCAAGGGACGTATTTGTCCCATGTTTTTAATTGCCTGTATCATCTGATTAAGAACTTAAAATACTTTTTTTTTTTGGTTTGAGTCAAAATATTAGTTCTTATCAACAAATGGATCTAGCTTTTTGCCAATTACTTTATGAAATGGCTTAGTTACAGCAACTGAAGTGTACGAACTTTAAAGACAAAAAATTGATTCTTTTGGCGTTCCGTAATCTTATGGTCCTTAAAGGGTTAAAAGTGTACATATACTTTAAAATGACATTAAAGGCACAGTTTTTATTTTTAAAAAATAACAAACATGTCATACTTACCT